GACTGATAACTTTTTCTTAAAATTATTTGTTATTGTGGGTTCGTAAATTCTTAGTTACTTTTTATTTTTGATTTCAGTCTTTTCAGCAAACCTTTTTGGAATTGTAAAAGAACAAAAATCTGAATTTAAGTCTTCTTAGTAAATCAAAAATTAGAAATTACAAAAGATCAAAAATTCAAAAATCTTAACTATGGAACACCAATTACAAAATGTATAAAGAGGAGAGATGTACTTACTAGGCACGATGCTAATAACAGTAGTCTTTCTTCACACGTTGTTTCTTGTTATTCCTTTTACTCAGTTAACCAATTCGAAGTGGACAGTATCTGGAACGTTTAATAGCAGCACTGATAATCCAAATTTCACTTTTCCGAAGAATTCACTTTTTCGAACTTCCTTCAGTCAGAAATTTTCGCGACGAATTACGACTGTATCGAATTTCCCGAAACTTATGCACTCTGAGCATCCGAACGACTGCGCCAATTATATTTTCGATTCAGAAACTTCTATTTTAAAAAAAACATTTATTTTATTGAATAAAATACAGAGGTGACAAAAGAAAATACGTGGATCAAATTGCTACAGGCAAAAGCCAGAAACCAAATGAAGGTTCCTTATGGGACTGCGTTGGCTTGAATAAGAATTTAATGCCGATATAGCAATTTGATGTTTACTTTACAACAATGTATTTGAAAAGTCATAGAGGAAAGGGCACATTAAAGCATAAAAAATAGATAATTGATTATAAATCAGCGTGGCAATTGGTTAATATAACTAGTGTACGAGTTATGTCACCACCAAACAGCTAAACAAGCTAAGTCGATATGCTGACCCCGCATAATTAATCTTATAAAATAATAAGAATTGCATTGTTAGAGTTAGTCAGTATTTTTAAGTGCTTTTGTATTAAGCTTAAATAAATGTTTTTTATAATAATAATAATAATAATAATAATAATAATAAATGACTTTATTTGCACAAAATTTAGTACATAGGCGAAGTTTAGCCAAAGGCTACTCTACTTAACCTACAATTAATAAAGTAACAAAAAAAACTTAAGCATAGATGTCGCCAAAAAAAATGGCATGGCAAGATAAATCAGTAATTAATAAATGTTCTATGTTTACCCCTACGAGACTGTCGAACTCACTTGAACTTTCAAAAAATATTTCCTACTCTCTCTACGAAAAGCATTGAGTGAAAGACTTTTTATATTTGTTGGAATCTTATTATAAATAAAGGCTGAATTATATGAAAAACTACGCTTGTAATAGATTTCTCTTGCTCTTAAGCGGTGGCGAGGAACATTCAGTCTATTTACAGATCTCACATTAACCTTATGCAACTGGTTTCTAGGAATTAACTTACTAAAAAGATAGGGAGGAGAAGATGTAAGAGTAATCTTATGAACAAAAACACCAAGGTTATAGGAAAATAAGTTTTTAAGGCGAAGCCATCCAAGTTCATTTATCCTTGCAGACACTGTATCATACTTTCTTAAATTAAGTATAAATCTGCAACAAGTATTTTGAAATTTTTGCAATCTATACGCAGTAAAATTATCAAGACAAGGAAAGTAGACAATGTTGCAGTAATTAAGAACTGGCAGAATCAAGGATTCGCAAAGTTTTTTCCTTAACTTGAAATTGATTATGTGTCTGTTAATGAAGAGCGGCCTCAAAGCGAAATAAGCTTTTTTAAGAATATTTGAAACGTGAAATTTGAATCTTAGGTCTTCTTCAAAATAGAGTCCAAGATTTTTTACTTTATCCACGCATTGAAGTTCGGTAGTTCCAATGAACAGTTTTAAATTTTGTTTAAAATAATTTAATTTATTTTTTTGACTAAAACACATTACAGAGCACTTAGAGGCATTAAGTTTCAAATTATTTTTCTGTGCATAATCATGTAGAGCTTTGAGGTCATTGTTTATAGCGTGCGAGGCCTCTTCCAACTGATTTAAGGGGAACGAGTGCCGCAATTGTATATCGTCTGCAAATCCCTGAATTTTGCAGGCTTTGACAACATCAAACATATCCGCAATATACAACAGAAATAGAATTGGTCCCAAAACCGAACCCTGGGGTACACCTGAGGTTATCTCACAAAAATCTGACGGATCCCTGCTTTCCAAAACAACCCTTTGCTTTCTTCCACCAAGATAAGACTGAAAAAAAGACAACACAGTTTCATCGCATCCGAAATAATGAAGTTTGGCACACAAGACATCATGATCTAAGGTATCGAAGGCCTTCGAAAAGTCCAACAACACCAAAGATGTGACGTCACCCCTGTCCAGTGAGGATATAATTTCGTCAGTAATATTCGCCAAGACCGAAGTAGTGCTATGATCCTTACGAAACCCCGATTGCAAATGAGGGATTATTTCATTTCTTGTCAGATGCTCATAAATTTGTGGCTGCAAAAATTTTTCCAAGATTTTCGATAAAGCAGGGATGATTGAAATGGGCCTAAGATCGGAGTATTTTTCAGGTTTTCCTACTTTGGGTAGAGGTTTAATTAAGGAACATTTCCAAATTTCTGGAAAGTAACCAATCTCTAAGCAACAGTTTAAGATGTGAGTTATATGATTTAAAATAAAATTTGCACAATACCGGATCATTTGGGCAGAGATACCATCACAGCCACAAGCGTTTGATTTGAGCTCACAAATTATTTTGAAAATTTCTCCCGTGGTTGCTAATCTAAAAGAAAAATTCAGGTTTTCTCGAAATTTTGTTCCTTTATAGAAACTTACAGTTTCCGGCTGGTTTTGTAATGGGCTATACACCGATGAAAAATAGTCATTTATTGAATTTGGTTCTCCTAATTTTGGAGGAATAGTATAGTTAGTTTTATTTTTTAAGTTTAAGTTATTTATGGCTTTCCAAAGTTGTTTATTATCCTTGCTACGTTGGTTAAATTCTAAATAAGCCTTTTTCTCTCTACGAATAGCATCCACCACGGTATTACGCATTTGTTTGTAAAACGACCAATGACCAATGTCTTTAGTTTTCTTGAATTTGCTTAGGGCCTTATCCCGTTCTTTCATTAGTAATTTAATATTAGGTGTAATCCAAGGTGCAAACTGTTTTGAAATTTTAGCATGCTTGAAAGGTGCATGCTTATCAAATAAATTCAAAATGTTTTGGTTTAAGAATTGCAGTTTTTGCTCTATATTATTTATGTAGTAAACACTATCCCAATTAATAAATCTTATGTCGAACTCAAGGTCCTCCATAATTAATTGCTTAAAGTTTCTATAAATAACTGTTCTTGGTAGAGGCTTAGAAATGCCAATATTTATTTCACAAAAAGTTGCTTTGTGGTCCGATATTAGGTCTGCGTTTAGGACAGAGCAATTTGTGACAGTAGAAGGTTGATTAAAATAGATAACACCAATAATTTTCTCACTTGTACCAGAAATACGTGTTGACTCGGTCACCAACTGGGTAAAATCATAGCTGGTGAAACATTCAAGAAGCAAATTATTCTGAAAATGACATATGTTCACATCTCCTAGAATTAAAATTTTATCAAACCGAGGACAGAAATAAGAAAGCAAATCGTCAAAGTGTTTTATACAGCTTGCCAGATTGGTTTTAGGTGGCTTGTACACGACCCCCAAAAGAATACTCTCGTTCTTTATTTTTAAGTTAAGAAATAGGTGTTCAAGGCCGTCAATCGGTTCAAACTGTTCTGTTTTAAAAACGAAGTTGGCCTATCGAGATAGTTAACTTACGTCACACACTGGCGCCATTTTATGACGTTAGAATATGTGGTACGGAAACAGTTTTTATTTTATACTGTATCGTGAAACACACCTTTACGTACCTACTTAGTTTTAGTCCGGAAAATGAACTTTTACATTACTGGGTTTGGTAAAATTTTCGGACTGAAATGTCAAATTGAAAGTTTACATCAGTACTAAGTGAGTATTATTCGTCTGGGAAAACTTTTACAGTAGGTAGGTACCTATTCGTTTCAAAATTCCGGATGAGGCGATACTCTAAAAGTCTATTTTCCGAACTTATAACGTAAATATCTATTTATTTTTTTAAATTATTCATTAGTTCATACAGCTGACTTGAATTAATAGAAACCGCTGAATAGTACCTATGAACATTGAAATAGTAATAATTCATCTCATGTTATTCAATTGAAATTCTCATTAGGCTCGACTTTTAAAAAACTTAATTATTTTTTGTTGTTATTGAAAGAAAAGTAATAGTAATGAAATTTGTTCGTATTGGTATAGGCAAGTAGGTACCAACCAACTTATATCTAATAAATTTTTCGCATAGTTGAGTTTTCCAAATTACGCAATCATGTGAGGCATAAAACAAAACAGCAATTACCTGATAATTTCCTTGCAATCTTACAACCCATAATAATAATTGCTATCTATGCTATGCCGACATTGTAAAATAATATAAATATTTTCGCAATATAACTAAAAAGGTAGGTAATTTAGCAATTTTACAATATTTGTTTATAGTAAAATAGGTAATAGTGGTATAGTGATATACCTAATTTTTCTGTTGATTATCTTTGTTTTTATTTCGGTAATTTGTGCTATAAAGATTTAACTGTTAATCATTTTTATCTCTAGTCGGCTTAAGGTACATAGGTACTTGTTTCTCATCTGAAATGATCAAAAAGAAGGTGAAGAAAGCTAGAAACATATTTTACGAAAATCCGAAGTATATTTATTTATTATTACTTGAAAAAAGGTCTTTCAACAATACTGCAATAGAAAATTAATGAATCAATAAAATAACAATTGAAATTTTCCATTTATGAAGACGAAATTAATTATTATTCCTTTATCAGGCATATAACGCATTGCTGGTACTTAAATAAGCTTCGAAACACTCACAATACCTAATTAATATTTGCATTGCATAAACAATAATCCTAAAACAAATATGTCTTTACTATGACACTGATAATAATAATTTATGAATATATTTTCAATATATATGACTCACATTTTCCAGATAGCAACATGAAGCAAGTGCAACTTTTAACCGTCCCAGTGCTTTTAACCATACTGTCTACAGCATTCAGCTACAGACTGCCAACTATCTACAGCCCAAGTTTGTACACCATACACCTAGTAGTGCCTCCAGAAGTATTTACAACAGAAAATGCTACAAGTTACACTGGAAACGTTTCAATCGCGTTTACTACGTCAGAAAATGTATCTCAAGTTGTTTTACACGCCAGTGCAGAGTTCGTTAATATTACATCGTGTAATTTGGTAGATGGTAGTGGTACTTCTGCAGCGACTAATATTAGTAGGAATAGTACCACTGATTTGGTTAATGTTACGTTTGATGCTACTTTGGCAGCTGGAAATGGTTATACTTTGGAACTCGTTTTTAGTAAGTAAATTATTATGCGTTCTGATTTATTTTCAACAATACTACTTCTAGCTAAATATCTTTCCATTTCTTCATACTCAAATGCCATTTTTATTTTATTTTAGCTGGTAAACTTAGTACTAAGGACATGTACGGCTTCTATAAAAGTAGCTACCAGGAAGGTAATGCAACTTCCTACCTAGTGACCACTCAAATGGAACCGATGCATGCCAGAAGAGCCTTCCCGTGCTTTGACGAGCCACAGTACAAAGCTAATTTCAGTATATCGCTGACTTATCCTTCGGGGCTTAGTGCTTTGGGAAACATGGCTGGAACTGATACTAACAACACTACCACCAAGTAAGTATGAATAGATTTTAGATTGCCCACAGATATTCAACATTGGTTTTAATTCAATGCATCGTCTATTGATTTTGAATCTGTTTTTTCCACTACTAACATCAATTTTCATATCTGCTTCAACTCGTCAATATTTATTTTAAATATACTTTTCTCTTTTTTCATTCTCTTCTGCATGTCTTGATAGACTTGAGAAGATACCTACATCGGTATTACTATTTAATTCCTAAAAAATATTTAGATTTGAGATCGTTTTAATTATGCTTGAAATTTTATTTTCCCGTTTTTTATTCTCTCTGATGAGTGTCTATTATTTTCGCCTTCCTCACTATTTGGTTTGTAACTATTCTTTTCGTTGCTACTATTTCGTCCTCATGCGCATCTTCTTTTGATTGTTTATTTTCGTCACTTTGCTCTGGTGCTTTTTCTTATTTCTCATGGGATTGATCCTAATTGCCACTTTTGTGAAATTATTGTTATACCTTTACCAAATTATGTTTGTGTCTATATCTTTCTTCCGAAGAGTGTTTTGTTCTGTTGTCTTCTTTATACTATTTGGTTTAGACTCATTTCCGTTGCTCTTATCTTCTATCGATGCTACGATTGCTACGCATTCATCATTTTTCTATTGTGTTTTTCATCATCACAATCTTTTCTCTGCTCTTTTTCGCAGCTATGTTCTTGAGTGTCAAACATTATACATAAAATATAACAACAATATAGTAAATAAAAGCCAGTGTATCAGACTCTTGCCTACAATACAAGTTCTGTTGCTTTAATTTTTTCAAATGTGACAAGTGAATCAGAGAAATCAGAAATAGGCAATAATAGGTATATGGCATTAATGAGGTGATAAACATTGCAAGAAAAGGATTTTTTGAAAAAATGGTTCTTATGTTTGGGTATATTGTTAATGTATTTCTCCGCAAATTTAAATGGTGAACTTCACTACGGAAAGTAATTTTGTTATGTAGGTAAATACGCAGGTGTTTAAGGCTGCCTTAATGGCCGCCATCTTTAAACTGTGATTGGTTGATTTTTTGAAACTTGTTTTAAGGTCTTTAAAAAAACGGCACATCAGAATTGGCGCAAATTTGGCATAAACATTATTTGATCGATTATCTACAATTCCTTATTTTGGTTTTTCGATATTCAGCCTTTTTTTTTTTAAATTCAAAAATCATATTCGCAACCATCAAAACAATTAAATGTGTTGGTGGTTGCATATTTGCATGTTTATCAAGCTTGGATCCGTGAAAAGCATATTTTTTTGATAACCACGAAAAACTAAAAAAAGCCAATTGTAGGGATTGTAGATAATATATCAAATAATGTTTATGCCAAAGGATTTTGGAAATTATTGCGGATTTTTTGAGATGACCTTAAAACAAATTTTGAACGTGAAAACAGTTCAAGCAATTTCAAGTAGATGGCGCCACGGCAAAAAAGCTACATTGGGAGCATCATAGTTGTATATTTGTCTTTCTCTGTCACTAAGTGTTTCACCGACAAACAGATTTTGTTTTGGACAAATAATAAAATATTGAACCCTATGTGTAGAGTGACGCAGTCGTCATTTTCAAAAACTAAATTTAAACATGGCGGCCATTAACGCGGCCTTAATAATTTTATAGAACAATAAGCCAGAATGCAATTTCCTTCTCTTAAACCAATGAACTATAACCAAAAACTGGAATGCTAACACATAAGGACGAACTTGAAGCCTAGTGCGGCTGCTGCGGAGGGGATATCTGTTTTTGTCGCACTCATTATGTTAAATGGCGAAAATTGCTTCCAACACGTATTCCAATTGATGAAACCTGTGAAGGGAAATATGACAAAACTTTCGAAAACGTCATATGTCAGCGAGCAACAGAAAAAAACAACATTCCCCCTTGTGGCATCTGTCTTTCATGGCTTCATTTTTTTGGCAGATATGGCAATGTGTGCGCATTCCAGTTTTTAACTATAGTTCATTGTCTTAAACATATTAAGCGTTTCTGAGACATTCGATCACGTCTTCTCATGCCAAAAATAAATCGAATGCACGAGTTTTGCATCTTTTGAATTCTATGAGTCACGACTATCCAGGCATGGCCCGTATACTGCATCACAGTGATCAAAATGTGATAAAATAGGAGAATCACATATGGTGGTATTCATAGTCAATCGCAGCGAGTCGCCAGAGAGTCGCCGTGTGCTGGGCAAAATACGGCGGATCTCTGGCGACTCGCTGGCGATTGACTATGAATACCAAAAATAGTAGGCCAAGCAATGAAGGAAGTTTACCTCAACATGATTAGAAGTTAACATTTTTTAGGGGGGATCGGTCCATTTTCATGTGCTAAATAACATATTAAGTTTGCGACCTTGTACCTCCATATAGGGTTTTTAGTTAGGGGTGTTTTTTAGGGGTAATTTGCGGTTTATGGAGAACGCTGCTAAAATGGATGGTCCAATAGCGAAAACTTTCAAATGATTGTTGTAGCTGAAGTTTTTTGTTATAAAAAACGCTGCGACAGCACCCCTTTATCTTCTATCATTTTTTTCTGCAGCGTCTTGAATAGTAGCATGTTTTTGTTCAAGGTCTCTGAATCAACGTTTCGCCTGTTTGTGCGAATTTGGTGCAGCACCGGCTGAATGCATAATCCGATTTTAATTGTTCAAACACCACATTATTGCTAATGAATTGCACTCTCCTAAGCTTTTTCGTTCGATTTTTTTGCTTGAAAATTAGGCGAGCACAGACTTGCTTTATGTGCTAGAAAGTTGTAAATTGCATCGAAAACTACCCCTTTCTTGCATTTATTGTAATTTCTAAATGGGGCCAAATATTTGGAGACAGTTTTCGACAATCGGCAGCCCATTTATTCCTCTCATAATGCCCCAGCGGTTTTTTTTTTCGGTAATTACTCAATGACTTATTGGCCTGAACACGTATCGCGCGGAATTTTTCAACAAGTCAAAAAAAATTAAAATTGTCGCACAGCGCTGAAATTTGGTACCTACGATGGCTTTATTTATTGTTCTTATGAATATACTGCAATTTCATTTGCTTCACATAACTCCTGCAACGTATTCAATCATAATTTGTGAATATCAAATCGATAAGTAAAAAACTTGATTTTGTTACTCTTGTTGGTTCAGTAATAATCTGCTGTAATTCAAATGGCTCCATTGGGTGGTATGAATAAAAACTACTACTACAAGTATTATTATATTCTACGCAGTATTTACTTCAAAAAGAAGCATTCTCCAATTTCCGCTGGTTTCAAAATGTAGTATCTACTTCGTTTTAAAGTAAATACTACGGAGAATCTACTGTAGATACCTGTAATGATATTATACCTACGGTTAGGCAACCCACATGACATTGTAAAGGATATTGACAATTATTGATATACGTCATGGAGACGAAATAATAAATCAGTGTTGAACTTCACCTCGAAGAAGGTAGTTTTATTTAATTCCTAAACCTACGTTAAATACTAAATAATTACAAATAATTACATTTATTACATGGCGCAGTCTTTAGAAAGTTCGACATTCAACCGGCATAATCAATAATTTCAATAAAATTCAGTGGTGCCGACAATTTCAATTACAAATACAAGGCTCATAACCTAAAATCGAAAATGGGTGATAGTCGAGGAATTTCTCCCTTGTGTTTAAGGTGCAATCCGGCTGAAAATTGGAAATTATGGAGGGCCAGGTTTGAGAATTACTTGGTGGCCTCAGAAGTTTACAAGAAAGATGAAAAAACACAGTGCGCACAATTACTACACTATATAGGTGATGAAGGCTTCAAAATTTTTACAACCTTCAAAATTCCTGCGGATGAGAAAAATAAACTGGAGCCCCTAATGAAGAAATTTGAAGAACATTTTATTGGGAAAGAAAACATTGCATTTGAGAGATATCAATTCTTTTCGTACAGACAGGATGAAGGCCAAAGTACGGAAGATTTTATTGTGGAATTAAAGAAAAAAGCTAACCGGTGCAAACTAGATGGCCTTCAAGATAGCCTCATAGTAACAATGATTACTTGTGGAATTAAGAATGAAACCATAAGGGAGAGGCTCTTGCAGGATGACAGTTTGTCACTTGATAAGGCAGTAGAACTGTGTCAAGTTCTTGAGTCCGCAAAAGTTAGAAGCAGGGCTATGGGCCAGTCTTCAGCAGAAGTTCATGCAATCAATTACAAGAAAAAAGACCATCCTCGTGCAGTGAGAAATTGCAATAAATGTGGAAAAAAGGAGCATTTGGTGAATCAGTGCCCAGCGTTTGGGAAAACCTGCAACTATTGCAAAATACCTAATCATTTTGCAACTGTGTGTTGGAAAAAAAAGGGACAATCGAATGATGCAAGGAGGGTCCAAAGAGTGAATGAAATTTCAGAGGAAGACACAGTCGAGGACACTGTTAACTCGATAACAGTAGACAAAAACTTTCTGTATGTTGGAAGTGTTACAAGTGAGGAAAATACAGTGAAAAGTTGTGAGTGGAAAACTGAGCTAGAAATAAATAACAGACTGGTAAGTTTCAAAATAGATACAGGGGCAATGGCTAATGTTATGTCACTAAATTTATTTAAAAGTCTTGGTTTTGATATGTGTGATATAACTCAGTCAAATTTAGCTCTTCACTCATATACAGGGGATAAATTAAAAGTTCTTGGGTGTTCTTCCATTTTATGTAACAAAAATAATCTGCGTTATAAATTAAATTTCTTTATTGTAAATTCCAATACGGATGCAATTTTGGGTTTAAATTCCAGTATTAGGTTGAATCTTGTAATGAAAATTGATGGTTTAAATTCAAATGCTAGAGATTATTCTGAGCTTATTAAAAAATACAAAGATCTTTTCAGTGGAATTGGTTGTTTAGAACATACATATCACATTGATTTAGATGAAAATGCCAAACCTGTTGTTCACCCTACTCGAAAAGTAGCTTTACCATTGATGAGTGCCTTAAAAGAGAGTTTAGAGGAACTTGTA